GGTTGTGTTAGTACGTCATATGCTTCGTTGATCTGATTGGTTTATTTGGCCCGTCTATCAGCAACACAGGCCAATCAGCTAACCAGTATTTTTTGCCTGGCGGAGTCAGGTTAGAGGCTATGCGTCAGAAGCATAAATTGGCCTTTAGGGTTAGGCATAGAAAGAGTTGAAAATGACTGAAAATCAATGGGACTCAACACATGGTCCTCACTACAATGGCAGAACGAGTATGTGTGTGTGTGTGTGTGTGTGTGTGTGTAATATTCTTAATATCTGACAACAGTATTATTATGCACCATTAACACACTAATTTTGTTTTGATGGATTTGTATAATATGTTATATTACATGATTTATAGACTTTATACTGAATATGCAATGTGATGTGTCTATTTTTACCATAAACTACAGTAATCTATTGATGCTATGATGCTAGTGTCTGTGTCAAAGTGGTGACTCTATCTTTATTTAAAAAGTCTTAAGTCCACCTAAAAATGAGAACATCATGGTAGTTCAATGCTGTAGTGCAGGCATCCCCAACCTCGGTCCTCGAGGCCAGCTGTCCTGCAGGTTTTAAAGGTTTCTCTGCTCCAGCACAGCTGATTTTAATTGAAATTACTGCAATCGTTATAATGAGATGTGCTAAAGCAGGGAAACCTCTAACACCTGCAGGACAGCGGGCCTTGAGGACCGAGGTTGGGGATGCCTGCTGTAGTGCTCGTATTGTTTACATTCCAATGGGTCTAAATAGGCAGTACCAATATGGCGGCTGGTAACTTCAAAGCACCGTGTACTACCAATGGCCTATCAGCAATCCAGTGAATAAATAAAGATCAGTGTGATCTACAAACACCTCAGCTCTAAATCAGGTGATCTTAACCCAGTGTTCCCATTGGTGCAGACTCCATTCATGTCAACATTAGCATGTAACCTGAAGAAAGTATCTGTATATTCTTGACACCTCAAAATGTGAAAATTAAGTATTTCTTACTTATTCTTTATTAATATTTTTATTGTAAATTACTCTAGATGCTCTGTGGATGTGTTATTGTTCAACAGTATATTGCTTTGATGAAAAAACTTGTAGCTATGGCCTTTAGGCATTCATGATTTAGTTTTAGCCCATGACGCTGTTTAAGTTGAAATCCTGATAGGGCAAAGTAGTTATTTATCTGAGCTGAATATTAAGAGAAGCTGAATTAATTTTCCTGAATGCAGAGCACAAACTCACAACAAAAAAGCAAGAGCAAAGTTTAAGGGGCTTATTAACATTCCCCTCATTGTAGTCCCAAACACAAATGCATCACAAACAAACATGTTTCAGCAACAAATTAACTTGTGCTTTGACCTGAATCCGGCGTCTAGCAGCTAACTGTCTTTAAAAGCAGCAGCTGTCTGTTTTTTTTCTCTTCCAATTACACTAAGCACCTCACAGTGAAGCAGCCCGCGATTTTGAGGCAAATCACGTCAATGCATGTAGCCATTAACACAGCGACGGCGAGTGGGAAAAAAAAAACAAAAAAAAAACGCTGCTCTGACCTTAAAGGCTGTCGTCTGAAAAAAAAGTCCATTCAGATGAGCGGTAATTATGTTTTCGTGACAAGCAGAAATCAGGGAGCTGGACGGACTCTGAAGGTGAGAGACGTAACCATCACTGCAGACGTCCAATCTGACAATTGATTCCAATTACAGCATATATGGTGCATCTAAGCATGACTAGAGGGATAACCCTGATAATATGAGGACAGCTGTAGCTCTGAATCAGAACATCAAAACAATTTTAAAAAAAAATATGAATTTTGTGGTGCAAATAAACTTCCAAGATTGATATATATGAACTAAAAGAGCAGGTTTTGCTCATGTTCCTCTAAAATGTCCGAGCAAGGCCATGGGTCTATTTGAAATAACCTTTAATTCCAGTGGCTGTCAGTTTTCTGATTTCCAAAAGGATCTGTCTGATTGCAGTATACAGTATTTAAGTTGTTTTTTTAATCTACGAATGATCTAATTTTTCTAGTTTAGAAATTCAAGGGATTAAAAAAAATAAAAAAATAAAAAATCAGTAGCACATAGATCTAAAATGTAGTTGTGCTGAGTGATTTTTTTGCTGCATGCCAAAATCTGTCATCTGGCTTGTTTTTTGGTTGAAACAAGAGTCCTTTTCATTTCCCCATCACTCTAAGCCAAGAGAAAGAAGTGTGTGAAAAATATGAGCAGATATCCACGCCCTCTCGCCAGCCCTGCCCTGGTGCCAAAAGGCTTTAAGATCAAGAAGACTATATTAAAATTTTATGTTGCTTTCTGTGTTAATCAGAAGAAGAAAAAAAAAACTCAGAAAACTTATTTTTGTTTAGGTTCTTCAGAGACTGATACCGTAGACTCTTAATAAATGCCAGCTCATCATGCTCTGGGCTTCTATCGCATATCTGTCTAATGTAAATATTTTTGCACGTCGAAAAATTTGGCAGCATGATCACCAAATGTAATAACATAAAAATACACACAGGTATGGAGGACCAACTCTGCCATATTTAAAAATAAATACAGAAATAAATAAATGCTCAAGAAAAAAATAAGCATAAAATGAATTCCCCCCAAAAAATACAATAAACAAATAAATGTAGGTAGAAATTAAATTATACAATGAGACATAAATGTATGAATCTCTTTTAATTAGCTTCTTTATTTATTCGCCTTTGTAATAATTACCTTATTTATTTATCGTCTGTTATTTTCAACTTTATTGACTTATTATTTATTTTTTAAGTATTTATTCATGTGCATGTGATAATATTTTTTGCCTGTTTTACTCTTCCTTTGTATTGTACAACTGCTGTGTGAATATCACAACAATGATCCAATAATATCAAACTATAAAACTCATGCAGCTCTATGCAGAAACTCAGTCTGCACCGATCAAGATTCTATCACCTGAAGTTATCTTTCAAAAACTGATGGTATCACCTACTTTGATTAACTCCACTCATAATAAACAGATCACTTGGGGGCTTTCATAGACAATTACTTTCATGGAGGTCAGTTTATCTTTGAATATCATTAAATATTGCAGGACACAGTTAAAAATTGTTATTTCTTTGTTCTTATAAACACATCATTTAACCTGGGAGCTTCATAAAAATTAAAACTTTATTTCATATCACATCCAAAATATGTTTAATTCCCTGATTTTAGATTAGCATGAACAGCAATGGACATGTTATTTAAACAAAAGGAACTACTCGTTATTCAAAGTGTTTACTTTTTATTACCTAAAACGTCAATTTGGATGAATTTCTCTAATTGAAACATTAAATATTATTAGGGATTCAATGAGAAAATATAAAATTTTTAATATGAACTAAAAACTAAACAAATTCCTTAATGAAATCTAAAGATGTACCTAAAAGTCGACTAATTTAGACCATTTTATAGTGCGTTAGATGAGACAAGTAAGTTAAGACACTTGGTTGCAATATATCTATTTAGATGTGGATAGTAGTTTGGAACAAAAATAATAATTAAGCAAACTAGATGTTTTATAACTTGATATCTGTGGACATTGACAGGCTGCAGCTACAAAATAAGTGTAATAGTGGAAAATATTACCTTTCAAGCACAATTTTGGATTCAAATTAAACCAAAGTCAGACCACTTTAAAAGTAAAAACAAAAAGAAAAAGAAGAATGGTAAAAGACTGAAGAAGAACTTTCAGTTAGTGCTGATGGAGTCGATGCCAGGAGCTCCGTTACAGAAGAGCTGCTTTTAACTGAAATGGAAAAAGTCTTTGTTTCTGGATATAAGGAGCAAATCGCAGGAACATTTAGCCATTGACTTCAGTCAATCTGAATCTCTCCTCATGTAATCAGTCTGTGTGAGCAATAGACCTAAATCAATTAATCTGATTAATCGTGATTAATCGATTAATGAATTATTGTCAACTAATTTAATAATAGATACATTTTTAGTTGGAGAATAGAGACTAAAACATGTTTTTAGTTGATTATGTTGTCAAATATATAAAAACATATATATAAACATTCTGCATTTAATATTTAATCTCTCAATCTGCTCTATCCAGAACTCAAGTGGAAAAGTTTTAGTTTCACCTGGTTTCATTTCATTTAAAAAAATCTCTGTTAAGGAACCTTTTGCAATCACATTATTAATCGAAAAAATAACTGACTGATTAATCGATTTGCAAAATCTTTATTTTCAGCGCTAGTTAGCGACTGATGAATCCTGCTCAGCCAATCGGCTTCACATACACCTCTATCTGTGCTCCCCTGCTCCATCCCTCCCTGCATGAAAAACAGAAAGCAGTGCAGTTCTGCAGCAGAGACAGTGAGCTTATGAAAAGTTCCTTTAACTGATCAAGGCCTAGTAAACCGCTGCACTAGATTGGACATCACATATGGTTAATAATCAACAATAAATCGATAACTCAATAACTCCCAACACTGAATATAAGGCATTTTTATGACACAATAACATTGACTAACAGAAAGTAGCAAGAATTATTTCTATTGTAGCCAAAATACTCAACCATATTCATTATTATATTCATAATCCTTTTTAGTTAAAATACATATTTTTGCAAGCTAAATTTTGGTCTAATTTGCAAAGAAGGAAATAACCAGCTCTGCCCATAGATGAGGGGAAGAGGGGCAACGCTGGGTTCATTTATGCTTCATCCAATGCTTAGTTGCATCACATAAGCTCCACTTTTCATGTTAGTAAGCTGTTTCTTGTTTTACCAGCAGCAGACCCAGTCAGTCAGTCATTTGCACAAAAGCCTTGGATACAGAAAGGCAAAAGAAAGTTGTCCTTGAGCTGTGGGTGAGCATGAATAAAGCTTTTTTTTTTATGCTGAAAACTCATTCTTTTCATTGTATCAAATCCGCTGCTGTTGTTTTGCCTCAAAGCCGCCTCTGACAGCTGCAGCACATTGCAGAGGGCGTCTCTCGACATTGCAGTCCGCAGAATCCGACCTTTTCATCTTACCTGGTTCGCTGAAGTTCAGGAGGGAACAAGAGTAAGGATCCTCCCTGTCCTCGTCCGGAATGGGGCATCCGTGTCGACCCACGATAAACTTCACCACCACTCTGAAAAAAAAAGAAAAGGAAATAAAGCAGCGTTAATCTTTTGTTTAGTGCAACATGCAGCTAAAACATCTCAAAAGCCTGTCCATCTCTCCACCCTCTGTTACCATGGTTACTAAGGGTTGCTTAAAGGCCATCACACCTTATCGGGGCCCGGATCGTGAAAGAGAGGTGGAGGAAAAAAAAAATGAAAGAGAACAATATTGCCCAGTGGTGAGGTAGAGATAAAAGGATGGATGCCAGAGTCTGGGATCCGCTGCCAGCTGCAGGCTATTTTTTCCCCTCTACACGAGTTCAGATGGGAAAGTAAAGAGAGCGCGATGAAGTTAAAGCATCAGTTTACAAACCTGCGCTTAAAGTGTGGGTGATCTCTAATGTATCCCAGCCATGTTTCTCTTATCGCTTGTCGAAGGTCATGATGATGCCGCGCTGACAGGACTCCCACCAAAACATCCCAGAAAGGCAACGGTTCATCTGCAATAACAAAAAAAAAACTATTTTTTTAATCAGTTCAAAACTTTAAAATGGATTTACTTTTAACAAATTCAGTTAGACAATCAATTTTTCTGCCAGGTGGAAAATGAATAACATCACTTGTTTTCAATATTTTCAGTTTATTTATAAGATTAAAATAAAGTCTTTAATTCAAAGATGCTATAGAGCGCCGTCCCCAAAGAGACTGTTTCATCACTCTGATGAACACAAAGCATCCAGGTCGATACCAAGCCTTTTTGCACCAATCCAAGCATGTCATCCTCTTTTGTAGGAAAAAAACAGATCATACATCCATATTATCAAGAAATAAAAATATATATATATTTTAATTTTACTGTTATGCACAAACTTTAAATGAATGCTTGTATTTTTAATGATCTATTGAAAAAAAAAAGATTTAAATGATCTGGGTTACTAGGTAATAATAACTAAAACACAATTATATAGCAAGCCAGCTGGATTAAAACATATATTTAATGTTATAAATAATATATATATGCCATTGAAATGTCTAACTGGGAAAAACTGTAAAAGCCATTGCACCTCATTATTATGGAGAGCAAATAAATGTGATTAATATTTAAAATGTCTATAAAGCTTTGACACAGGACAGACCCCCGCCCTTCTATTTTTCTATAAGACGGAAAAATAAATAAATATGTGAAAAGCGAAAAGATTTAGAGTAATGTTTTTTTTTTCCTGATAATAAAACACAAAATAGAAAAAAAAAAAATCAAAATATTAGAAAATAGTGCATCCATCGCACATTAGGAGCAGTGAAATTCACACTTTAAAGCTGGTTCCACACATCTCTGCAATAAGCGATAATCCGTTTAAAGATAAAATAAAAAAACAGATTAGAAATAATCCAGAGGAACTGTTTATATAGAGGAAAGACTGAATCCTGCGCTCCCAGATTATTCCAGCAACGCCCAAAACTACTGAAATAAAATATTTACATTATTTACAACTAAAATACACATAATAACACCCAGCTAGAGATGAACTATCTGCTCCCAGAGATTTATCGCCACATCCAGGCGGTAAGAGGCAAAGTTAGCAGCTGCTACCATGCGGGAAAAGTTCCGGAGAGGTAGAGCCGCGGAGGGAGGCGGAGAATTAAAAGTACCCGAGTGAGTGCTGTTGTCCAGCGGCTCGCAGAAGAAGGCGAAGGAGGGTCGCTGTGCCAACCACAAGTGCACCAGGACGGCGACAGCACAGGGCAGCAGGAAGAGCGCTAGCCTCCGCATGGACGGAGCCCTTCATTCAGCCGCGGCGGGGTGGAGCTGGAGCGGAGTGGAGCCTCTTCCTGAGCCGCGCGGCTGTGGACGGTGTGAGCCGCTCCGTGTTTGCGCTTCATTTCAGCTCCGCAGCTCTCCGCCGGGCTGCCAGCGCTGCCTCTAGTCCTGCCTCCGCCGGTTAGGGACACTGACCAATGGGAAGCGAAGAGGGTTTCCGCGGTGCACCCTGGGAAATGAAGTTCAAGGTTGTCTTATATCTACGTAGTTCGCTTGAAAGTAATAAAATGTCAAAATAAATCCTGATAATCAAACAAACTGAAAAAATAAAACACAGAATAAAAGATAAATAGCCAAAAAAAAAAAAAGAATTAAAATATGTTTCCAGCCTACGGAGCCCTTAAAGAATTTTAAACTCTCCTTCTTACATATAAAGCCTTAAATGGCCAAGCTCCATCTTATATCAGAGACATGATTGTTCCTTATGTTCCTAACAGAGCACTTCACTCTCAATCTGCAGGTTTACTAGTGGTTCCTAGAATTTCTAAAAGTAGAATGAGAGGCTCCTCTCCTGTGGAACCAACTTTCAGTTTTAGTCCGTGAGGCAGATACCCCTTCTACTTTAAGGTTAGGCTTAAAACTTTACTTTTTGATAAAGCTTATAGTTAGAGTGGCTCAGGTTATCCTGAGCTATCTCGATAGTTATGCTGCTATAGGCTTAGACTGCTGGAGGACATAGAGAACCCTTTTTCATCATTCTTCTTCATTCTTCATTCTCTCTCTGTTAGTTCAACCTCTCTCTTCTTTTTCTCATAGTAGCTTTCCCTCGTCTGTTCCTGTTTGGCTGTGACTCCATCCTTGAGAGAAATATCAGCTGTGCTGCTGCCATCAACACCTTTGTTTATAGATGTTGGAGATCTGCCTGTTTTTCAGTGTAGTCCTGTTTCTCTGACTGTGTCTGGTTGGATGTGCAATCTTCGTCCTCTGTGGGAACTATCTTGGAGCTCGTCTGCCTGGCTGTGTGTTTCCTGGACAAGGCAGCCTTTTACAGTTGCTTTTTGTATCTCTGCTTCTGTCTCCTTTAACCCCAGTCGGCCTCGGCAGATGGCCGCTCACACTGAGCCTGGTTCTGCTGGAGGTTTCTTCCTGTTAAAAAGGAGTTTTTCCTCTCCACTGTCGCTACAAGCATGCTTTGTGTGAGGGATTGCCTTTGAGTCAATGAGTTGATGCAATCAACTGGTTTTCCTTAGATAAAAAACTTTGAACCAATTTGACTGTATGATCTGGTCAACTGTAAAGTGCCTTGAGATGACATGTATAGTGAATTGGCACTATATAAATAAACTGAATTGAATTGAATTAAAGGTACATTAGAAAAAAGTATAAAAAAAATAAAACCTTTTAGTTTGCACAAGATACTATAAGAGGCAAACCTTTTTGTTTTTTTTCCCTTGGTGTCAAAGATGGCTGTGGAAGATCTGTTCTGCTTCTTTTTTTTTTATCACGAAATGTTCTTAAAAATATTATCCAAAAACTAAAAGAAGACAGATTTAAATACTTTTTTTTTTTGATAGGATTAATCTGCAATTTTTTTTCTGTCAAATTATATGTTCTACATTTTTCACTGCATTATGCAAACTAGAAATAGCACGTGACTCAGCTTCAAACTTTGCCTCTTCAATTAGATAGTTATTTTTTAAGGAATATGTTTTATGTTTCTAATGTCTTTGTTTTTTTACTTCTAGATTGATCTTTAAAAATATGTTAATGTCATTCATGTAATGATTGATAGGGAGCTGACACAATACGTTGAGAAATTTGGAGACAGACTTGCATTAAAAGCATTTTGTCATCAAAGGAATGAGACTTCCCAAATCCCATTAATGAGGTGGACTGTCACGCAGCCAGTAAGACAAAAACTGACTGAAAAGAGCTTATTTCCTGAAAGTGACGGCACAGCCTTGTGCTGGTAATTCTAACAAGGTTCAAACAAGGCAGAACAATCTGGTTTACATATTCAGTCAAGCTAATAAATGTCAAAATGGGCTGCCATAAGACACCTGACTGAAAGATATTACAAAAGGGGAAATGAGGTAAACTGCAAAAAAAAATGTTCTTTCCTAATAGACGCTCTCCCAAAGGTTCATTGGGGTATTTTTTCATTGATATGCATGATTTTATTCAGGAGATTATTCCATTTGATAGCACCGTAGGCCGACTGTATGAGACCGAGATCAGAACAAATCTACATCTGCTCTGGGTTGTTATATAATCACAAAGAAACACGTTGAAACCAGATCTGATTTATGTATTGTCACTCTTCAATATAAAATAGCAGCATAGTGAGATTGCTATCTCACACATAGAGCACAGCCATGCAGTCTTTTCTTATTGTATACAGCTTTGCCTACACACATAATCACCAAATGATGCAAAGCTAATTACTGCATAAGAGAGATATGTATACATGAGACTAATTTAATGACTGTAGTTAACAGTAAACTTTTATAACACAAGAACAGATTCAGAGCTGTTCTTGTTTCAAAATAGTTTCTAATATAATTCACACTGCTTAGGCTTCGGCAGACTTTACTGAAAGCACTGGTAAGCTGTTGCAAGAGTTTGGATGAAAGGATATGCGCCACAGCATCGTACCAATCCAACTGTCTCTAGCATTCATCCTTTCCTACTTTCAAGGTGTGGATTCAGCAGACAAAGACCTGCTGATGGTGGGGTTTCAGCATATAAGCAAGTGGCAGTGGACAAAGCTCAAGATGGATGAAGATTCTGAGGAAGACCTGTTTGATGACCTGTTTTCAAAAATGGGCTCAAACTTCCCTCTAAGCAATAGCCCACAAGGATCTTCTTCAAGAACCCAATTTATAATCAATAGTAATATTAATATTAAAAGGACATTTTCTTCTCTGACCTTTATTCCTTTTTCTAAGCATTTTGTGAACATCCATCCAGACTCTGGTGTGGTTAATTCAACCCAGAGAGCCTCACAGAGAGAGAAGTTGTATTCAGAAAAGTTTATTGACATTAATAAAGTAAAAGTTCTTTGGCGCTTGGACACCTGATGAAGACTTCATGTTCAGTATTTTGAAATTGTAGCAGTATTACTTAAAGCCACACAAACTTGATAGATTCCAAATTTTCAGGGTTCCTGTTTCATTTTGACCATCCCCAAAGCAAAAGCTTGGTTCAAAACACAGATTTAGTAAATCATAGAAAACCTGTATTTGTGCACTGAAAACATAGAACAAGTTAATTTGTTTAAATAGTTTTTCAAAACGTAATTTATTTTAGTGTTATAACACACCGGCTGAATTGAATTAAGAAATCTACTCGGATAAACTTATTTTGAGTACTTGTGAGTAATTAATGATTTTTTAAAAGTTGGATCAACTCTTTATTTGTTTTTTAGTAACCATCTATAACTGATTAGGTGGTTTCTTTCTCCAATAATTCAGGTGTAGTTATGCTTTCATTAGGCATAACTTTGTTCTCAATTGACCACATACTGTCATGTCTTTACCAGTCTCTTATATAAGTTTTCTTTAAGTTGTTTCTCCCAGCATTTGTCAGTGGATTGTTGAACAAATAATGACTTTGCTTTCCTTTTGACAATGTTTGCAGTCTTCATGTTTAATGACTTTAACAACAAATAAACATAAAGCCTTGCTAATTCCAAATTTTCCTTAAATTGTGTAAATATTTATAAAAATGGAATTCCAATTCAGTGTGCAAGCAGATATACATTTTACAATACAACACTGTGTTGGTGTTATATATATTGCGGTGTTGCAAGGATTGCTTTAAGACTCTTACCTGTATGATATGCATGAAGCAGGACGGAATCATCATCGAACAAGCCAAGATCCCTAAGATCAACCAAGAGGGAAATGTAGAGCTCAGTTGATTCCTTCCCGAGGAACCAACAGCTATCAATTATCTGAAATGCCTAATGTCATAGTCATGGTCTGTATTTCGTCACAAAAAACGTTGAAAATCTCTAACTCTCACATTTTCCATGCCCTGTTCTCCCAGCTGCATCCATGAAGAAACCTTCAACAAGATTTGGATCCCTGCTGGTGATAAATGCCTTCATCCATGCGATTTACCTTGAAAATCCATCAAAGCAGCCATTAAGTTTGCCATAGGAGTCTCAATGCCAGATGTAATTTGGCCCCTTTGGAAGATAAAAGCAGCGATGAAGATGTCTGGCTCTCCTAAAATCTACACCTCTTGGATCAAGTTATTTTAATATTAAGCGGACATCTTCTTCTCTGACCTTTATTCCTTTTTCCAAGCATTTTGTGAACATCCATCCATACCCGTTGAGTCGATGAGACTCTGGTCTGGTCAATTCAACCTAGAGGGACTCACAGAGAGAGAAGTTGTATTTAGAAGAGTTTATTGACATGAATAAAATATAAGTTCTTTGGCACTTGGACACCGGATGAAGACTTCCTGTTCAGAGCTGATAGATGATCAGATTGATGGAATAGGAGAGAGAGGATTAGTCTTCCCCCCAAATGATGGAATAAGTGTGATGATCCTGGCACTGGAGCTGACCAGGTCTCCTATTATCACTCTGGTTCAGTCTCCACCCCCTTTGCAATCATCTCTACTGGTTTCACCTGTCACCACCTGCATATAAGCTCCATCCTGATGAGCCTCCAGTGCCAGATCGTTTCAAGCCAACCCGGTGAGAACCTTCCAGCCTGATTCCTGAAAACCTGTCTGTTTGCCTGCCTGCCTGCCTGTTACAGATCCTGTCCTGTCCCCTGATTTATGAGCCTGCCTGACCCCTGCTTGGATTTGTCTGCCTGCCTGAGACCAGCTCTGTCAGTCTCTCGATTCTGGATTGATAACCTGTGCTTTGACCCGTTTCTGCCTGAAGTCACTGAGCCTGCCTGACCCCTGAAAGTTCTAAGATACTTGGAGATCGAACCTGGATCTGAAACTGGACCAACCTGCTGGATATCCCCTCTGCTCATCTGCTGATATCCGAATCAATCTCTGGACACAGTACCTTTCCCTGGCTGACCCTCAGAGTCTGAACTCTATGCAAGACAGGTTAGTCCATCTGACAGTTTCTGCTCAAGCCTGCCAGTGCTGCCTCTAACCTGCCCCTC